TGGATCCTTGGAACATCATACATATCAATTTATGGTAATTTCACCAATCAAACCTATAAATCATGCTTTCTAACTATGTTATATTCTTTAACATAGAATAACACATACTTTAATACCATTAATCAATCCACGAAACATATTCTTGATTAATCTAGGTAATCTCATGCCTCACACAAAAGTTATAAAGCATAAAGCCATCTTCTCACCTTAAATGAAGCTTATGAAGTTCTAGTCTCCCTTATTGAGCTCCGGCGAAACTCCGACGAACTTCAACGAACTCCGGCTACAATTCCGGCGACCCTTTCAACTCCGTGAAAGTTCCTTGAATATCTTTACCAGTCACTAACAAGGTTTTATCATCATAAGACCCATATTAATACAAATAACCTCCAAAAGGTTATTTTCCGGCGAACCGGTCACTTTGGCTTCTAAGTCCGTTTTTTGACTTAGAACTACTTTCCAACCCCTCATTCTACACTTCTAAACATGTAGAACAATCATAGGGGTACTTCATTTGATATGAAAGTCATATGATAAGAAAAAGATTGAAGAAGAATTTGCAAAACGCTTCTCACCTTTATTCCCAAGGTTTTTCTCTACTTTTGCAACTCTTTCTTCTTGATTTATCTTCTTGCTTGATTGAGCTCCCTTCAACAATGGAGATGTGGATTTGCAGAGCCCCTTATCTCTTCCATTGATGGATTGAGTCGAGCATATGGGGTGTGGGGGGTGATTGAGAATGCCTATTTGGCATTTCTCACAATCATGTTAAGAGAGGGGTCCATGTCATTTAATGGTTTGGTCTCCAATCAGCCCATGCTTGCCTCCTCCCATTATGTGCAGCTTACCTTGACTTTTGCAAGCCTAAATTCGTGGGATGGCCCCCACTTATGTGGGAGGTCATCCCTTTAAATCCCGATGTGTACAATCGGCCCCGAAAGTTGTATTTTTTAGACTGTTTCAATTATATTTTATTTTATCGGGTCAAAAAAAATATAACACTTGTTCCCAATCCTTATTGGACCTTAGACGGAATATGTATTCCTCAAATTTAATTTAGAAGTCTCCGAAATCCCTTTTCGGGCTGTTATCCGATAAATTACCGATACTGATAATTGGGCCTCGTTTGACCAACCGATCAACCCTATGCCTTTGCCATGGCCCAATTAGGATATCCACCACCATATACATATTATCTAGGCCAAGATTAATATAATAGGTGGTCCCGACAGTACTGGGCGACCCCACTTCCAGCGTGGTCCCCACGTGATTTTTACTATTCACGTGAAAGAAATGATAAAAATTTACAATCACGTAAAATGCGTTTATTCCTTTCTCAGGGTTCAATTCATAATTTGATAAGGTACAAATACTTGGGGGCGGGTTTACAGTCACACCGTTAAAAACGTCCGAGAAAGACCGGAAGGTGCGCCTCAACAAGATGATCGCTTGTCCATCTTTATTTTTCGTTTCCAATAGGCTTGAGACCGGTTCGATTCTTACTCAAAAATAGTGGAACCGTTATTTAAATTTTAACAAATGAAATCGGTTCGGTTCCTATATAAAAAATCAAGAATCGATATGGAACCAAACCAATACTAAACGGTTCGGTTCTTGCTTTTATCGGTTCCTAGAATAATTTTTTTCGTGTAAGAATTTACACATAGTTTAGCTTCTACCACATGAAAACGTCAACAAGTCATAAAGATTTATTTAGAGTTCTAATCACTCCAAACATCAAAGCTCATACTTAAGTGAACACTTAATAGAATAAAAAGAAGATTTTAATTTTCATTTAATACATAAAATATAAAAATCGTTGGTTATGTCGTTAAAATGAAGGTTGCTCATCATTATAGTGGCAAGGATATGAGTACACTTTATGCCTCTCAAAACCTAAAAATACATCGAGTTTGCATGTACAAATATAAAAACTTCACTACATTCTACTCCTATTGATGGAACAAAACTTGATTTGTAAAAATGAGCTTAATGTATTCAACCTCATGTGCAAATATTTATTATTTTTGTTTTCATAAATTAAATTAAATTAGAATTATTGGCTAAATATCATTCATTTATTATTATTGTTGTTGTTGTGTTTATTTTTGTTATATTAGTATTACTACGAATACTGCTACTATTATTTTTTAATATCAGTTCCTTAACGGTTCCATGCATATATTTTTTATAGGAACCGGGAACCGAACCGTTAACAACAACTATGAACCGAACCGTTAACAACTAATACCTCATTTGTAGGAACCGAACCGAACCAAGTTATAACGGTTCGGTTCCAACCATTTTAACGGTTCCCGGTTCCAAAATCCCACCCCTAGTTTCCAGTCAACCTTGTCACCGGAAAGTTCACCGCAAAAGTGATATTAGCGAAATCATTTTAAAAATTTAATTTAAACAGATTCGAAAACGGATCCAACCACAAGTACCTTTTTCGTTCTTTTCGGTATAGAATTTCCCCTGCCAATTCCATATTATTTTCTCCTTCTAGGCCTGGGACCGGTTCGGTTCTTATTCAAATTTGGTGGAACCATTAAGAAATAAGTAACTCTTAATATCGGTTCGGTTCTAGTAAAAAAATTGTAGAACCATTAAGGAACCGAAACGAATCCTAACGGTTCAGTTCTTGCTTATTATCGATTCCTAAAACTACAATAACCCTTCAAATAATACATCTTCATTTAGCGTTACAATCACATGAATATTAATTAAAATCTGAAACTTAACAAAAAACAGTTTGTTCAATACATAATTAGAATATGTTAATATGATTCCAATGGATCAACAAGAATGGTGGTAGATGCCCAAAGTAACCAGAACCGATATCCTGCTTGAAGTAACTCAAACCTGAAAAATTAATTTAAATTGACATTAAATAAAATAATGACAATCAGATTAGCATAATTGACTTTGGTGGCTCATTCGGTAGAATTTAATTTTATCCATTTGATCTGCAATAAACTCATTAAAACAATAATCATCAAGTTAGTCAATGGAAAGAATGAGATGTAATAATAACTAAAATTTATGATGGTTCTTTTAAAAATATCCATAGCTAAAAGCCTAAAACTGTTTAATGGTTAGGATATAAAAACTCTATCACTCTATCACTGTATCACACATACTCAGCTCTATACTGAAAATATAACTTAGTGTGCAAAGTTAGGGACTGTAATAAAATCATTACAAACATTAAATACTCCCTCCGTCCCTTATAACTTTGCCAACTTTTCTTTTTTGGTTGTCCCAAAAACTTTGTCACTTTCCCTTTTAATCAATCAATTTGTTGCTCCTGTTATTTCTCTCTCCTCTGCACAAATATCTACCACACAGTTTTTACTTTATTATTCTACGTGCCGGTCAAACTTGGCAAACCTTTAAGGGACGGAGGGAGTATCAAAGTAGTCATATCTGATATCCATAATAGTGAACTGCATTGACTTCTCATAAAAGAATAGCCATATGATCTATAATAAGGGGGTGTTTGGAACTAATTCTGCTTTTGCTTCTTTTTTTAAAGCAGAAGCAGAATCAGTTTTCAGAAGCCGGTACCCCCCAGCTTCTAAAAGAACTGATTCTAGGAGTAAATTAGAGCACCAGAATCACTTCTGCATTTTCACCCAAACACTCTAACTTCTGCTTCTGCTCCCTGAAGGAGCAGAAGCAGTTTTAAGAATTAGATCCAAACACCCCCTAAAAGCATTAAGTTTCAAGAAAAACTTCCAGTTTTTTAGACCATGTTGATTCAATTCTATGCATAAAAATAAGGTATTACCTGGAACAAGAACAACACTATAAATAAGGTAGACCAGTTTCTTAAAACCAGCTAATAAATATTCTATCTGCAACTAAATCAGAATCTGAAAATCCCAAAACTGAGCTTCTGAATATGACCATGCATCTACACCATAACAAAAAAGCTTAACCCAAAAATAACTATTCATAACATAAGTCAAAGCTTAAACAAGGTGCAACTTACATTTTTTTGTAGCAAGTCAGGTGATTTATCGATTGTTTGTTAATGTTCACATGTAAAAAACCTCTGCTTGCAGTTATATGTTTAATAAACATATGAACATATTAAGCAATAGTGGATTCAATTCAACATTGATATTTAATAATAAAAAAACAGTTTACAATGAAAATAACACATCCTTTTATAGAAGATACTGGGTAAACTATAGTATATAAGATAAACTTATTTAATAAACGTATAAACATTATGCTTTATTATATAAGATACTGGGTAATCTAAAATTCATGAAAATAACACATCCTTTTATAGACGAAATATAATTGATAATTCACATATGAAAAAACAAAGTTTACAATGACTTGAAATAGAAATTGAATAGCTTGGAGATTCACAGACATACCTTTGCTCTACACAGAAGATCCGACTAAAAGAAAAAGGTAAGATCTAATTAGAATTTTCGATAGTTTTGTGAGGAAGTTCTATAGTTCGAATAAAAGAATTACGGAGAGCAAGATAAGCATACCTAGTTACCTACTATATATGACCTCTTCTTTGAGGAAGCCATTAAAATCATTGAGAGATGAGTTTGAATACGAAAGAGCGGAGTCGCACAGTTGCACTGTCGCAGTCTCGCAGATGGTCGAAGGCGAAGCTGTTAGGGTTTTCCTTCTAAGCCTTTAAGTTGTAAATTGTGAAGACGAAAAGGGCTAAAGGTTGATTTGGACTGATGCTTCAAATTGTATTAATACTCCTTACAAAACAACGAAATAAGGATGAGTGGGCTCAAAGCTGCTCAGATAGAAATACGAAGTACGGAGTAATACCTTAACGGTTCGTTATCGGTTCTAAGGAAAAATATTTATAACAAACCTGGAACCGAACCGATAATTGTTTTATCACCAAAAATAGGAACCGAACCGAACCGGATTATATCGGTTCGGTTCCGATCATTTTTTCGGTTCCCAGTTCTAAAATCAGATGCCTAGCTACTTCCAATTTTTCAATAATTCCCTCTAACCCAGCAAATCACAATGCAAATAATGCGTACGCTTCGCTGTTTGGTTCATACAACCAAATATGGGAGAACAATGAGTTGAGCCGCTATCATCATCAGCGTTCCACGGTCACCACCACGGCACCACCACCGCATCACTACCGCACAAATGGTTAACTCCAATCTAAGCTGGCCAACCAATGTGACCTTAACCGCCTAATGCTTTAAGTTTCCCCATCCCCCCTACGGTCCAGGTTTTATAAATTTTCATCCTCTTCTGAATCAGTGGGAGAAGCAGAACCCTAGATCTTGTAAAACCCTGACTTTGATTTCTCTCCTCTCGATTCCACTGATCAAGTAAGTGTCTTTATTGCTCATCTATTTTCTTCAAGCAAACCATCTACTAATTTCCAAGCAAAATTATTTTAAATCATTTATTTTTTCTCTATATATTCCTTATTGAACTTTCCCCAACACTTGTCTTGCATGATATTGGAACTATGCGGTTCATGCTGGAGTTTCCTTCCTGCACAATTCAGTTGATTATAGGACGTTGTATTGAACAACTGCCGACAAAGTTAGGATCTACATCTTGATTTTTATTTTCGGTTAGGATTTTGAAGTTGGGGGTTTTTGAGGCGTAAATTTACGAGTTCTTTCACCAAAGAGAAAAAGTACAGTCAGGGCCGTATATAGTCTAGATATATGTTGACCTGAGGCACATTTAAATGAGGCCTATATTTAGAGAAAAAAGTACTAATTGAATGAACTTCTTTTAGTTATTTATTTTTCTTGCTTTTTAAGTAGCGGAATTACTTATTAAGTTTCATACTCTAAATATTCTAGCAGATTATGCTCTATAGACAGTATGCCCATTATTGTATTTTCGATTAGTCATGATGATTTAATTGAAAAAAGTGAGACACAACAAACAGTATTTATTAAATTAAGAATATGAATTAAAAATCCCAAAAAATAAACAAATTACAAATGAATTATGAAGTCAAAAATTTAAAAGAATAGATTGGATTGATAGAACCTGATCAGAAGTACGAGATATAAAAGCAATGGCTAATAATCATATGAAATGGAGATCACAATTCAGCTGAAAGTTCAGATGTAGTAGCATAATGCAATCAAGTAATGTATGGAAGAAAAAATTTGCGCAAGAAAAATATGGAGAAGTGTAATGATTTAGGAGCTTCAAAAAGTTCAAATTGATAGTTACACGGAGTATTTATTAGGATAAGTTGGATCACTTGTAGGCTATGTTGCACGGAAAAGCAAAAATCATAAGGAAACGGGAAACATCAACTTTTGCTAAAAAATGCTTGTTTGGAGAGTTTCCAAAGAGTTACCGTAGAGTTTCTGAAACGGAAACGTACTCTTTCCCGAGAGTTTCCATGCTACATAGCTTGTAGGTGAGGGTTAAAACTCCTACAGATATGAATTGGGGGCTAGAGTTGGCAACGGGGCGGATCTGGGACGGTTATGCGTATAACCATATCCGCCCCGTTGGATAATTTCTCCGTCTCGTAACTGCCCCATGACCCAACAGGTAATTTTTATCCAAAACCATAACCGCCCCAATAGGTAACGAGTATAATCACTACTCACGAGTATCCGCTTTATTAAATGAATCATTGATATGTTATATAAAAATTAATATTTTAAAAGGCAAAAAATGGTGTTGCCTAGACGACTCTAGATGTGAGACATCACAAAAAATTGGGAAGTTATCTTAAATAGGATTAAAAACGTATGCGTATTTCATGTTTTTATTCCCTAAATATGAGTTATTATTGCCATGTTTTGACAATAGCTAACTTTAAACACGGCAGTATTTTCCAAGTATGGCAGTAATGACTTCTTTTTAGGGAATAAAAACATGTCGGTCATATTTTGGAATTCTCAAACGTTTTTAATCCTATTTCGGGAATTTTCCCAAAATGTTTCTTGCATCTATAAGGTGAGAAAGAATTCAACCTAAATTATTGTTAAACTAAAAATAGTTAAATTGAAAAATAATCAATGAAGAAAAAATATGATATTAACCACAACAACAACAACATCCAAGCCTTAGTCCCAAAAGATATTGGGGTCGGCTAAATATGATATTAACCAAACGAGACTATTAAAATTTATTATGAACTTCCATTCACACATTATAGTTAGTACATCCATATATATACAACAATGAAAAGAGAAAAGTCTCATCTTGTATAAGTTGCGGGACAAATAATATGAAAAATTTAACGGGAAAAGGGGCAAAACAACCCCTAGACTTGTCACTAAAGGGCATCCAAGCCCATAAACTTAGAGCCCGTTTGGCAGCACGAAAATCGGCTGTTCTGGCTGATTCTGCTGAAATTTGTGAAGTTCTGGCTGAAGTGACTGCATTGGCTGATTCTGCTGATACAAGAAAAAAATATTTTTAAAATATATTTTATTAATAAAATAAAGAAAAAATTATATGTAAAAATAGCTAAAATGGTCATCTACAGTAACTTCAGTCAATACAGCCAGAAAAGTAACTCCAACCTTACTTTTTCGGCTTATTACACAATTCAGTGCGCGAAAGCAAAATTTACGTGTTTGGTAAAAAAGTTGGCTGATAAGCCTGATAAGCCGAAAATGAGGGTTGCCAAACGGCCTCTTAATTTTGGAGCAAAAACATGTTTATTCCATTAAAAGAGGGCAATTTGCCCCTTCTCTAACGGAGAGTACACGGAGTAGATAACAACCTGAGAATTTGAGGTAAAGTCAAATACACCCCATATTATTTACATACTTCGTATTATAATTCGTATATGATTAATTTGTATTCATTTATTATTATTCGTAATAAAAATCCAGCACTCCATATTATTTTACAATATATCTTCTCCACTTATCATACATAATCTAAGGATGCTTTTACTTGGATTGGAATTTTCTGGTCTGCTCTGGTCTGATTCGGTCTGGTCTGATTTGAAATGGTCTGGTCTGGTCTGATAAATGTCTTGTCTCTGTGTATTTAATAACTATCCAAGTTTGATCTGGTCTGATTTGATCTGCTTTGGTTTGATTTGGTCATTTGGTGTTGAAAACAGTTCAAGTAAAACCATCTTAATCTGTATATTATAAAGAATTAAAAGTATACAAAAATACTTTATCTTCTATATCATACAATATTGTTTTGAAATAATTACATATTTATAACTAAAATAAAAATTGTTTATAAAATGTGACTAGTGATTATGGTTGTAATGAAATCATAGTAACTTATGTTCAAGTTTTAAACTGAAGTTACCATGACACTTGGGGTATATTTGGCACAACTAGCTGAAAAGATACTTTTGAGAGCTTTTTAGTAACTATTATCTTTTAGTGACTGAAAAGATCTTAAAAAGAAAAGGTGATAACTATTTGGCAAAAAACTGACTGTTTGATTTAGTTATCTTGGTATACAAGCTATTAGGAATAATTAATATTAAAAAGAAAAGATCTTTTATTTTGTGAAAATCTCTTAAAAATTTTCATCTCGAATATACAACTTAAAGCTTTTAAAGACTTTTTAAACAATACAAAAACTAAAAGGTAGAGACTTATGTCTACCAAACATGCACTAGATTGTAGTAGCTATTTGTCATATTTGTTTAAATAAGTTTTATTTTAGTATTATTTTTGAAAAAAATTAGTATGTTTTGCCCCTTTTACTTGTAGAAGATATATTGTACGAGAAGATATACAATATAATCATTTGGAAGAAATTTTATTATTTTTAATAATATATTATTAAAATTGATTATAAACATATTATAAATAGAAAATAATCAGGCCGTATATACTAAGTAGGACATATGTATCAATAATATAAAATGATATTTCAGACCGTATAAACTAAAATAGACCAACTCAGACTAGACAGATAAAAAAATCCTAACACTATAATTAAAAAAGCAGTTCAATTAAAAAATCCAAACACTATAATTCGACATTTCACTTGGTTAATTTGCCACATGTTTAATTAAGACATGTTCTCACAAAGAAAAGTTATGAGCTTCTATCAGTTCTATGTGCTTTAGTGACCATCGTGGGGTGTTTCTACCCCTTGCATCAAATTTTCAGCACATGACTGTTATCTATCATGTATTTACCGTTAGAGAAGGGGCAAATTGCCCTCTTTTAATGGAATAGACATATTTTTGCTCCAAAATTAAATTTATGGGCTTAAATGCCCTTTAGTGACAAGTCTAAGGGGGTTTTTGCCCCTTTTCCCAAAATATAACTAAATTATTTTCATATTATAACTGTAATGGGTCAGGAATGTAATAAAACTGTAACCGCCCCGTTGTCCATAAAAACAAAACAATTATTCCACTCACCGTACCCATTACCCAATCAATGCGGCTTTCCCTGGTTTGATCGGAGCGGTTCAGTGTGGGTATCCATCGGATCGGTCACAATTGTCAATTTGCCATCCTTAGAATTGACTTTTCCTTTATTATTTTATTTGAGATATTTCTAACAATATAATGACCGTAGTACCATACTAAATACGAGTAATACGTAGTACTACATACTATGTAATACACGAAATTACTAATATGAGGCCTTAAATATTTGGGGGCCTGAGGCAGTAGTCTCACTTGCCTCAAGGACTCCACGGGCCTGAGGACATTAATGAATGTTAGCAGTTGCTGGAGTTTGAGAAGGGTTGAGTTTAGTGCTGATTTTAAATTTGAATTTATACCATTCGCTGTTGGTTTCTTATCCCAGTAGTCAATATGGTGTTCATTTTGTTGTTCGTTTTTTGCCGAGACAGGTATGTTGTGGTAGTTGATTGCTAATCTTCTCAAAGAAATGGGGCATATATTTTATATACTTATTGCATTGCCATGCACCATCACTGCCATTGGGTTGGCAATATTCCACATATATGGGCACCTCCTTAATTACACCGAACCTACCTATCAAAGATATATTGTGCGCATCATATTTATGGTTCCTGTGAGTAGTAACCCTTTCATTTCCTCAATTTTGTTGTTTGCTTATTAGTTTGTAAGTAGTAAGCCATTCATTTCATTGATTTCTTGTTTTCTTATTAGTTTGTAAGGATGTTATTTACTTGGACTTATTTCAGTCTCAAACCAGTTCAAACTATAGACCAGACCTGTTTAAACCATACCAGACCTGTTTAAACCAGACCTGCCTTCGATAGTTCTAAATTACACAGAGACCAAACATTTACCAGACCAGAAAATTATAGTCCAATTAAAAACATCCTAAGCAGTAAGACATTAATTCCATTGATTTGTTGTTTGCTTATTAGCTTATTAATTTATTTTCTTATCATTCTTTAGTTTTTTTGGTCATTATTCCTTGCTTATATTTGTTCGCTTATTCAGACATATAAATCATCTATTCTTTTTACAATCCCCTCATGCATAAGAATTTAACAGCTGTCAACATATGATTGTAACTTATTTCATGCCTTACAGGATTCATTCTGGTTTTACACTTTTACTTTTGTATGTTCTATTTGTCTTGGTATACTAATCAATACAACTTACCATGATCTAAATTGGGTTTAACTTTAATTTGAAAGTGGTATTGTGTACTTGTAAATGAGCAAAATCATTTTATAAAAGTAATTATCATGTGCCAACATTTATTTGATGCTCCTAGAGATGGGAAATGTAATCATTAAGAGGCCATTTGCCCATTTGGTAGCCCCCCCTTTTTTTACTCCAGGGGTGTCTGAGGGAGGTGGGCTGGGGCAGCCTGGAGTAAACTAAGCTGAAACTCACTCCATTGAGTTTCGAACCCGAGACCTCCCGTAAGGGAGAGCGAGTCGGCGACCAGCTGGGCTGGACCGCTTCATCTACATTCCTAAATGATGCCCTGAGTCCCATTTGGTAGCCCCTATTTTCACCTTATTAGCATACCAAACAGGCAAACACATAAATTTCGATTTCACATGTTGAATTGTGTAATAATCAAATTAAGCAAGGTTGATGTTACTTTTCTAATTAACGGTAGAAGACCATTTTAGCTATTTTCATATAATTTTCCCTTATTTTATTAATAACTTATATTTTAAGTTTAAATTTTTTATAATTCATTAGATTCAGTCAATTCAGTTGCTTCAACCAATTTCAGTGTTACCAAACAAACTTTAAAATGTTTTCAATTTGTAATCTATTACCAATTAGGAAATGTTGTTGGATTGATTCAAATGATTCTTAATTCGTCAACAAATGGATTTAACCATTCTACCCTTCTTCTCTTTTACAGGTCTATGCACTGACATCTTTTTTATCGCTTGTGATGAACAAAAGTGCAATATATTTCAATTCCTTGCGGGAAATGTAAGTGTAGTGAAACCATTTGTTGCTTATCACATGGTCAGTCGGCCATCTTGTAATTAGTCTTGTCCTGTTTAATGTGTATTCTCTACAATCTGCATCAACTGAGAGTCTCGGAGAAGTAACAGAAGTAATGAAGTTTAGCCCCCTACTTTTGGGGTACACCGGAAAGCCAATTTTGTCTTTTCCTGATACTATAAGTGGGGGGGGGGGGTATAATAATTTTAGTTTTGGAAAATCATATTATGGGTCATGAGAATAGGTTTATCATAAGTCATGTTTGTCACATGTTTCCGCTACTGCTAATAGTGTATTTACTTCCTGATTTGCCTTGCATTAATTTATATAAAAATACTGATATTAATTGTAGTTAAAAAAAAACTTTTTGCAAGAGTGGTGATATACCACTACACTGCAGTGGCTTGATGCTTTCCATTAAAATTTAATAGAAAAGAATGCCAATCAGTGTTTGATCAATTTCATTAAAACTTGCTTAGTATATTCATAGAGAGATACATTACCATGAATGAGATGCATAATCAAATTCAGAAGAATATGATATGAGAAATGAGCCAGTAGTGATTTCATTGACTTGTGTTGATGATAGGGAACCGGACAATCTCTGTATATTAAATCTGGAAAACGGAGTCCTTAAGCTATTACAATGGCAGAACGAACATAAACGACGTACAGAGCACAATGAACGGAAGAGAAATACAAGTGAGACACTTAGAGCAGTCTCTCCCTCCGAGTTCCGAGCCCAATCCCTATTTTCTGCCTACCTTTATTCTATGCCCAACTCATATTTATTGTTTTCCTTATGGGCCAGCCCACTGCTATTTAGTTACAGGGCCTAGACTCTTTTATTGTATACTATTAAAATACTTAATACGGAGTAATATTTTTATTAGGAGTGTCTAGATCCTTATCATCATTCCCCCCTTGACTACCACCTTGTCCTCAAGGTTGGTGGTAAGAAACTGATTTGACATTTAGTTTCAGTGGATTTTCTGCTGCATTCAGTTCATAGTACTGATCATTTGGTCCCTTCTCTTCTTCTGGATCATCCATCAGAACAAATTGATAATGTTTCATTCCACAAACACGATCTTTGCTTCATTCGTCTCCACATTTGAAGCATAGGCCCTATTTTCTTCTTTCTTCTAGTTCAGCCTGAGTTAATCTTCTGCCACTCTTTCCACCCTGATTAAGTACTAAAGATCCCCCCATTTTGCTCTCTGAATCGGTTCTCTCAGAAGTCTGTTGATAGGAACCAGAAAATTACTGTATATTAATTCTGGAAAACTGAGTACATAAGCTATTACAATGGTCGATGATGGAAATTGTCGTGCAAAGAGAACGGAAAGAAGAAAAGAAACGATAGAGACACTTCGAGTAGTCTCAACACTCCCAAGTCTCAGTCCCGATCCAAAGGCTGCCTCCCCATCTCCTCACCACTCTCACTTATTTATTCTATTTCTAATGGGCCAGCTCACTATTACATTTGATTAAAATACTCAGTATTATTTCTATTATATCTCACTCCATAAGCCCATAAGTCCAGGTCTCTATCATCACTCCTCCCTTTGACAACCACCTTGTCCTCAAGGTGGGAAGTAAGAGCCTTGACCTTCAACTTCATCTTCATCCGGGATTCCGGGCACCTCTTCCTTCCCAGTATCTAACTGATGGCGGAACCATGAGCGTGCTTGCCTGGAGAACACGCTGATTGTTGGGATCTTTGTAATTGTTTTGTTCCTCATGGATCAGATGGTGCTGTTTGATCTTTTCTTTCAATATGCTTTTCTGGATGTACTGGTTGCGAAGTGATAAAACAGCCAATGCTGCAAGTCATTAAAATAATGTGTCCATCTCTGGTTAAGCACAAAGCAAGTTCTTCCTTAGTTTCATATGAGATTCCACCTTCCGGTTTCACAGTGTTTTGATGAACACCCAAAGATGCCTTAGCAGAATAGACCAGAGATCTTGAGTTAGAGGGACTGTATATTACAAATAAAACCGAGGGTGAACCAATATCAAGCAGAGCAACCCGCCGACTTTCAAATCCCATAACCCGTTTGGATCCTGATGCCATGTACTGCCAGATGCATACTGAAGAACTGACAAGTGAAGAGAGAGCTGTGCATTGATACACAACACCACTTGGGAAAAGGGAAACTTCAGTGTTGGGTTCAGTGATCAATTGCAATCTTGTTTCCTCAGAGCTAGAGCTACTGCCAATCATGTAATCGTGAAATTGGACAGATTCGTGTCCAATAACAACACTCAAAAAATGAGTGTAAGAGTCTAGAGCTGTTGTTGCCGCAATAGTACTAATGCTCTCCATGCCGTTTACCTCAGGTAGAGTAGCCAACGTAAGTGGTAAAACTGGGTACATGACCTTCACCTCAGATAAGAATTCACAGCTAGCAAAATGTTTATGGAATGATTTGACTTCTACCTGAGGATTGATGTGGACCAAACTGAGAGATGCTTTCTCTGAGGGACCGTTCAGCATTTCAAAATGTTGTAGAAGAAATGAAGCATCTGGATGCTCCTGCTCATGAGTTATCTGTGACATTGAAATTAACTGATATCCTGAAACGATTTTACTTCTCCATGGTGGCCAAACAACGTCAAAGCCATCCATGTTTATACCAGCTTCTTCAAAGTTTACCGCGAAAATCAGTGCCCTGTCCTTTAACTCTGCCAGAATCCCAGAATGCAATAGTTTCAACTTGACTCTAATCTCCTCCTTTAATCCATTCATGAATTTGTCTTTAAGCATCTCAGACTCCTTGAATTTCATAGAAGCTATCACCAATTCATATATCTCGTCATCTGATGCCTTTCGGTTCAAGTATTTTTGAGAATTTGGGAATAGGAGGGACACATTTTCATTTCCATGCTTGCCAATAATAAATATACCATTCTTAATAATGTTCTCAGGTACCAAGTGGTAAGCACAATTTGATATATTCAAATCAATCTCCCTTCTTGGGCTGATATGATTTCTGTGAACTGATGATTTCTCCTCTGTCTAGCCTCGCACTAGGGCTCGCATAGGATGATCCCGTTGATTTCAAGTCTCCTCCTGATCGAGTCACACACGAGCTGTTAGTAGATGAAGAGACATGCGAACAGGGGAGATCTGTTTGTGAAGAACCCTGAGGTCTGGGAGATACTGTTTGCGGCGAAGCTGGCGAACTGGAAGAAGCTGCTGACGATGAAGATCGAAGAGGAGAAACAGTTCGCAACGAACTGGGAGATGATGCGGTTACCCACTGCGAACTGGATGAAGCTAGAGATGAAGTCAGCGAACCGGAAGATGAAGTTCGCGATTGCGAACTGGAATGATTCCTGAACGTCGAACTCTGCGACCTATGAGAAGCTGTACGTGAAGGGGCCTGTGAACTGCGGACATCTGCTCGGGGCGACGCTTGCGAACAGGGAAGAGCTATTGACGATCGCTGAGAACTGCGATAAATTGTACGGGACGAAGAGGGCTGATGAGTAGCGGCTAACGTTGAGCATTGTTTTTCAATTGGCCGACGATGTCTAGGAGGGCTCCTAGCTCTGTCTCTATGTCGCCTCTGACGGTGACGAAGTTTGCGCAGCATATAGCGCAACTCCTTCCACTGACTGTCGCTATTGTCCATACTCTTCTTCAACTGTCGTTGAAACTGACGATCGATTCAGGCTCCAGGAAGGATGCTCTGATACCAATGATAGGAACCAGAAAATTACTGTATATTAATTCTAGAAAACTGAGTACATAAGCTATTACAGTGGCCGATGATGGAAATTGTCGTGCAAAGAGAACGGAAAGAAGAAAAGAAACGATAGAGACACTTCGAGTAGTCTCAACACTCCCAAGTCTCAGTCCCGATCCAAAGTCTGCCTCCCCATCTCCTCACCACTCTCACTTATTTATTCTATTTCTAATGGGCCAGCCCACTATTACATTTGATTAAAATACTCAGTATTATTTCTATTATATCTCACTCCATAAGCCCATAAGTCCAGGTCTCTATCATCTGTGGATTATGACATGGGTTCTTCCTTTAACTCCTTCCACCCAGTCCAAAGGCCTGACCATAATACCTCCCTTTTCATTCCAAACTCTCTTGTCTTCATCCTTGAATCTACATGATTTCAGAACCTTACAGCAGTGCCTTATCCATTAACTCAGATATAGATCCAGGCATATACAATTTTAACTCAGCCCTCACCTCCTCTTTCAAGCCGTTCAGAAATATAACTTTCAGCATCTCTGTATCAGTATGATACTAATAATAGGGATCCAGACAATTTCTGTATATTAAATCTGGAAAATGGAGTCCTTAAGTTATTGCAATGGCAGAACGAACGTACACGATGTACAAAGCATAATGAACCGAAGAAAAATACAAGTGAGACACTTAGAGCAGTCTCTCGCCCAGTTCCCATCCCAATCCCAATTTTCTGCCTACCTTCATTCTATGTCAACTCATATTTACTCTTTTCCTTATGGGCCAGCCCACTCCTATTTAGTTACAGGGCCTAGACCCCTTTTATTGTATACTATTAAAATACTTGATTGTCTTAATAATATGTTTATTAGGAGTGTCCAGGTCCCTATCAGTTGACATCACTCATCAGTGCCAGATAGTTTGTAGCTTTTCGACAGGCATTGTGATGGATAAATCTCTTTAGAAACATGATCTATTTGGAGAAACACTATTGGAAGCTTATCTATTCCAATCATTACTTTGAAATCTTTTCATTGGCATCTATCCAGTTCTTCTAATTATATCTTTGAGTAGAAAGGAGTGATTGACATTGCTTAATAGAACACGTTCGTGTTTTTTGCTTTGAAACGCTAAAAGCAGTGTTTCAGATGGGCGCTTCTGCTTAATTTTAAGCACTGTGCTTTACAGTCGTAGGGAGGTGTTAAAGCTGGTTTTCACTATCTCTATAATATGTTACCTATACAATACACCATTTTTATGGGACACTCCAAATTCTTCTTCTCAAAAAGCACTTCTATTTCTAAACACTAGCATATTTTGTACATTAGGATTTCATCTAGAATATGTTAAATAAATAACTTCTCACAACATAAGCAAACACAAACCCTACAAGGAATTAACATCGAACCATTGTGACTTTGTCTAGATCAAAACATATATTGATTTATATCTGAACTGATTTGGGTGCTTTGATTATGTAGCACTATTATTATCTTTTTGCCTACATACTGGTTGATCTTTGAAGGAGATATCAGTACATTTGGTGTTCTAATCAGATATCCTCTTTACTATCTTTTTGTTGATATTTAGATTGCAGGCATTTAGCTTGCAGTTGTGTATGAACTGAAGATTATATCTCCTAACATCCTGCACACTCCTGCATCATCAATAGACATTTTCTTTTTATGTTGTTTCAGATATGAAGCTTGGGTCATTTATAACTTTCTATCACTGTGCTTGGAATGGGTTGGTGGCCCGGGAGCGGTTGTGCTAAATTTGAGTGGCCGATTTCTGAAGCGTAATTGGTGTCTAATGACTTGTTGTTTTCCTCCAATTGCACTGGATGGGTGAGTCCCCTTACTCACATAGTCTTGGTGGTTGTAAACCTTATTTGTTTGGTGTGGATTATTACTTTTCTATTCAGCCAGACATTTTTTTGATAAACGAAGTTGTTCTTACTTGTTTATACCATGCTCTGTACAGCTTAACTAGAACTTTTTTAATATAAAAATATTTTATGTGTATTAGGAGAAGCCCAAATACACATATCTTACTTGTTCTTAATTGTTAACTTTACCCAAGGGCCAAGGCGCTCTTTTCAGATATGTTTAATATAACAGCTTATAAAGGACATTTAATATAATGGAAAATGGATTTGATTTTTTGTTTGATAATTGTGTTTGGTAAAAGATTCACTTAAAAGGACTTGCTTCTTTTAGCTCACCTTGAGAATTTAGTGATATCAGTATGAAAATTTTGATATTGGTATGTGGAAATTTTGACAGTACAAAAATGTGCAGGCGGTTCATACGGAAATGCAAGCAAGGATGCTTGCAGTTTGTAATCCTCAAGCCCATCCTAGTTGCACTTACATTCATACTTTATGCTGAAGGAAAATACGAGGATGGGAATTTTAATCCAAGGCAATCTTACCTCTATCTGACAATTATCTATACCATTTCGTACTCAATGGCACTTTATGCCTTGCTATTATTTTATGTAGCATGCAGAGATTTACTCCAGCCATTTAATCCTGTCCCAAAATTCATCATAATCAAGTCAGTTGTGTTCCTTACCTACTGGCAGGTTTGATCTCTTGTTTCGTTGCTATTGTATTCTCATGCTGCATAAGGTGTGATTGTTATAATTGTGTGTGTGATTTTTTTACATCGTGTATTCACTGTTTAACTAAATGTGGCATCAAAGCATTATTGACTTCTACAATGTCAAATATCTCATTTGTGTTCAATTCGTGCAGCATTTGCTGGTGAAAATTTATATGTTGTGGCTTTATAATAAGTATTATGTTCTGATTACGTGATATTTTCTTTGTGCTTGTGTTCGGTACTCGAGTGTATATACTAATGTCTTAGTTCCAAAAAAAGAGTCAAGTTTGAAAGAAAAAAACCTGTCCCAAAAAAGTCCTATTTCATAAAACTGGTGCTAGTTTTCATGTAATTTGCCAAAAATTTAATCCAAGCTCATAACTTTTAGGAGTTATACCTTGCCAAAATTTAAAATATATACCTTGGCAAAATGTAAATTTCCTCCTGTTCCTCACCATTTTAATATATTCACCTCAATGTTACATGTACATTCACCTCAATGTTACAAGGATTTGATACAATAAGGAACTAATATGGGGAGGTGCTTGTAGTAGTAGTTGCTTGGTGTTACCTATGTTGAAATGATGTCTAAATTAGCTGGCAATACTAGATACTGCATGGGGTTGATTTTTTTTCTTTTGGCTGGTGTTAACTTTGACAGGGTGTTCTAGTTTTTCTTGCTGCGAAGTCCAAGCTTGTAAAGGACACAGAAGAAGCTGCGGAATTTCAAAATTTTATAATTTGTGTTGAGATGTTAATTGCAGCCATTGGGCACCTTTATGCCTTCCCATACAAGGAGTATGCTGGTGCAAATATTGGCCCTTCTCGTGGCTTTCAGGCTAGCCTTTCACACGCCCTCAAGTTGAATGACTTCTACCATGATACAGTTCACCAGGTAGTCATATTATCAGCATCTTTCGCTCCCCTGTCTTAACCCTTAAAGGCCATGGTTGTTTATTTGAATGAGAAGTGTTTTTGGGCTCTCCTAGATTTGGCATTAGAAAACATTTCTTGAAAGAGTTTGCATAAGCTTCTGTTTGTTTATTGTCCGAGATTCTACTGGGTTTGGCACCAGAAAGCATTTTTTGGACGAAATGATTTCCCACGATTCTATTGGCTATGTTAGTAAAGTGGAAAGTTGCAGGGAAATTTGTTTGGCTTTACCATTGATTAGTCATTTTAAAATTTGCAGTTTTGCACACTCACATTTCTTGATGTTTGGAGTTTTGAACAATTATCTAAATTTATTGATTTACTGTGAATTTTGTTTTTATTTTTCCCTAAGTTTTTCTGGGTTGGAAGCAGTCCCTTAAACTGTTTGTGAACTGCAATATATATAATATTGTAGATTGCATACATGAAACAACTTATTTTGCAAGAAAACATTTTTCTGCAGTGACTTGTTAATCCTCTACTGTGAACTCTATTGGTTATGATTTTTTTTATGCAGTTTGCACCGACTTATCATGACTATGTATTGTACAATCACGGAGATGGTGAAGGAGCAAAGAAGTATAGGGCCCGTACATTTGTCCCAACTGGCCAAGAGATGGATGCTGTCAGAAGAAACAAACACATAGGAAACAAGTTGGAAGATGTACAACTGTCAGGTCGCTCATCTTCCGTTAGCATGTCTTCTCAAAATCCTGATGGAATGAATTCTTCACTACTCATGGATACATCAGATTCCCGTTCTGTACCCTATGATCTCTCACTTATTGATATAGACATATCTGATTATCCTGCAAAGGTTCCTTCAGCTAATGAAACTGTAAGGAGGTAAGTGACCTCTTATATATTGAACGACACATTCTTTGACAGGTTCATGTGTTCATTTAACTGCTGACTTAGCATGTGTAGTTGTGTACTTAGGAAGCGTGTTTTTATTTCCGGGTTTCTTCTCTTTTTACCTTTCAGCTGTCTATAGTGTTGCTCTATCTATACTGATGGGCTTACGAAACCTTGATTAATTGTTCCATATTTGACTTGAACTGATTAACTAGCAAAAGCTGTTTTTAATTTCTGTTTGGTGATACAAGTCGTTCATTCAGCAAGCTATAGTTTATGTTTTTCTTTTCCTTTTTGCTTGCTTTAGTTTCAGAGTTTGAGTTTTGAATCATCATTTGGGGGTTTTGCATCAATATTACCAAACCAATGCTTATGGACAAACATGAAACCATTTTTAGGGTTTCAAAAAACTGACTAAAAAAGCCTTGGAGTTGGAACCACATAAATCTATTATACTAAATTACCCCTCCCAAGCCCTACTGACACCAAACCCATGTTTATGACACCTGTCGCACCCAGTGACCAAACTCTGCAATTCTAGTGATTACAACACACTTGGCCAGAGTCATTGGCACCACATAGTGATAGTATAGCCATATATAGGCCTCCACAATAGTGACACTAGCAGCCTCAAACAATCCACGCCGATTTGAAACCCAAGCCGCCACCCTCATTTAACCCTAGTTGCCAAAACTCGTAACCTTAGTCGGGTAAAACTAGTGAAGCATAAGGACGTACAATAAGATATGATAAAATGGAATACTGTCCTCTTGCAACAATAGCTGCCCACAAGTGAAACATAAGAACATACAATAAGATATGATAAATGGAATACTTGATCTGTTTTCTATAATATAGCGTATTCAAATTAAATAAAGCATATTTGGCGTAAATAGTCTTTGGATTTGAAGTTTGGTGCATAAGGTGCCCATCCTGTAATATATTGAAAATGAAGATTGAATGCACCTTTGGAACTCGATAAGCTCTTTCTCAGGGGCGGACCCAGGAAAGTCATCTTGGGGGGGGGGGGCGCAAAAATATTTTTTGCGGGTTCAAAATATTTTTTGGGAGGGAAAAAAATTATTTTTCATATGTATATATATACACTAAAAAAAATTCTTGTTGGGGGGGCGGTAGCCCCCCAACAAAAAAAAATTAGTGTATATATATACGAAAAATAATTTTCGCTCCCAAAAAGTACTGTGAACCCCCCAAAAAACATTTTCGCCCCCCCAATATGACTCTCGTGGGTCCGCCCCTGATGGTCCGCCCTTGATCTTTCTAACGATATATGAAACACTTGAAATGCAAAAATACCGAAAGATACGATCAAGTCAAGTATTACACGTGTTTGGACTCAAATAAGCAACGTTTTTCATTTTCGAGTAATATGTACTTATTCTCTAATATTTTGTAAATGAAGAATGAATATGACTATATGAGTCTTAGAACTTGATAAGATCTTTCCAACGAGTTATAAAACATTTGAAACAGAATGAATGCAAGATATGATGAAATCAAATATTGCATGATTTTGGAGTGAACTTGGCAATATTTATGAATTACATATTAATGTGTACCTATTCTTCAATACATTGTGAATAAAGTTTGAATACGAGTTTTAGAAATAAAAAAGATCTGTCCAAGGAGATAGAAAACGTTCGAAACACAATAAAATAAATCAAGATATGATTAAGTAAAATACTACGCATGTTTGGGGGACAATGAGTTTTAATTCCTGAGAAATATGTCCCTATCATTTACACCCTCCGTCCCTATCATTTAATCTTTCCTTTTTTGGACGTCCCAAAAAACTTTGCCACTTTCCTTTTTAATCAATTATTTTGTGGTTTCTGTTATTTCTCTTTCCTCTGTACAAACCTCAACCACACAGTTTTTACTTTATTATTCTCCGTGCTGGTCAACTTTGGCAAAGTTTTAAGGGACAGAGGTAGTAATATTTTGTAAATGAAGTATGAATATGAATTTAAGAACTCAATAAGATCTCTCCAACGAGCTATAAAACGTTTGAAATGGAATGAAATACAATAAGATATTAAAAAATGTTCATGAATTTGAAGCTAATATGTACATATTTTTTAATAAATTGTGAATCAAAGAACTTAAAACGACAAAAAGATACTCTGTATTTCCAACGATGTATAAAACACTTGAAACAGAAAAATATACATCAAGATACATTCAAATCAAACAATCCGTTTTTTGTAATATATCGTTTTCAGAGTAATGTTATTGGTGTGTTATATAATAGCTTGGCGGAAGGAAGAAAAAAAGGGTATAGAAAATGTGAAATTTTCATTCGGCCATGTGGGAGATTATTTAAGTGAAAATAATAACAATAATAACAAGCAATACTCTCTCCGTCCTTTAAATTTTTTTCAATTATTTTGTGGTTGTCATACTAACTTTGTCACTTTTCCTTTTAGTAAAGAATTTATGGTTTCAGATAATTCTGTCTCCTCTGCACAAATATCCACCAAACAGTTTTTACTTTATTAATTCTCGTGCCGATCAAACATTACAAAGTTTTAAGAGACGGAGGGAGTAATAAATACTCCTAATAAAGAACCTGTGTATGATTTATGGGCACATATCTAAAGCCCAAAAGATAAGATTAAATTAATGTTTGATAGACATAAGTCCACACCTTCTAACTTTTGTATGATTTAAAAAAATTCGATAAGTTTCTATTTGTATGTTTGGCATGAAAATATTTAAGAGCATTTTAAAAAATAAAAGATCTTTTCTGAGAAGTTACACCGAGTAACATCTAAGAAAAATATGTAACTTTCAATATTAATTAGTTTACAAAAGTATCTTTTCATCTACCCGAAGTGATAAACACACATATGTTACACCAGTACTTCGGAGGAAGTTTTGACAGATTTAGAATGTTTTTACTTGAACTTATTTCAGTCCCAAACCATAATAGACATAACACACACGCTCTCCCCAAGTAGTGGTGAAAACTTGAAACTAGAGGAGGTCGTGGTGTTAAGAGCGGAAGGCTGACTTGGAAAGAAAGAATCGGAACACAACAGCGAGAAACAGGAACAATAGCTTCGTCGTCGGAGAGGAAAATTTGACCAGGTTGTCTCCGTAAAACTGCCGAGCAAGAAATGATGTCGGATAAAACGAAAGTCGTGGTTGAAGGGTTGCTTACTTGCTTTAGCGTTGTACATTTGGGGAATGTGCAAATATACACTTGAAGTATATGTGGAGGTGCACACATACTCCTGAACTTTTAACGGGTGCAAAATACCCCCTATGTTATACTAGGAGCAAATTTATCCTTATTGACTTTAAATAATTAAAATAAATTTTAAAAAACAGATATTTTCTTACTAAATTTAAAATTTGAAATTGAAAAAATTAAAAAATTAAAAATCTACTTGTGTCCAATTCCCCCTTTTATGGTTTTTATATCACAATTTAATATTGTTAGTATCAAAAGTATTTCAAAACTCCACTACTCCATATATATTTATGATTCTTTTGAAAATGTGTTAACATATGTGTTGTGATGTAAAAAGATCATTATTTTTTTTTGTATTCTTTTGCACTGTAAAATTACATATTTTGTATGATGATAAATAGTCCATGATTACAAAATAGAGAACTTAATTTTATTAAGTTTTAACAAAACCAAAATATGTTATTTCAAAAAATGTAACAAGACTAAAATTAATATTTATGAATTTGAAGTGCTTCATTTATAAGGGAGAAACAATATTTTACAAATTAAAATTAAAGAGCTAATACTTTAGCATAAGAGTAAACCTTATTTTACTTTTGTTTTTTCAATTTTGATTTTTAAATTCATAATTTATTTTTGATTTTATTTATTTATTATATTTATTTAAAGTTTATAAGGGTGAATTTGCTAATTTATAGAAACACTAGGTGTATTTTTGTACCTTTTAGGAATTCAGGGGTATATCTGCACCTCCACATATACTTCAAGGATATATTTGCACCTTAACATATTTGATTTGATCATATTTTGTTGTATTTCATTCCATTTCAAGTATTTGATTTCATTCCGTTTTGAAAGATAACGTGTTTTATATTTATATTCCGGTGCAGTTATCTTTCAAAAATTATTTGACGACCTTTCCGATTGAATGTTTTGCTCAAATTTGGTATAGATGAACTAGACTTGATGAGGAACGTACACAAAAAAATTAAGCAAACAATGCCACTGGGAACCACCTCAAATTGAGGTGGCCGGACGAGGCCCCTGTCCGGCCAGATTAGTTATATATATATAGAATTAAGTTCAAGTGAAAAATGATATTAGGAGAGAAATGAGAATGAACCTTGTCCGACAGAGTTTCTCTACCAGCTTTTGGTTTGAATTGATCTGGTGGAAGTGCATTTTGTTTTCTTCTCACAACCGGCATGAATGTGCTGAATCAGAATTGCAGGGGTATTGGCAATCTAGCCACGGCTCAGGGGTTGACTGATTTGATTCCAGCCCACGGCACAGGTGATGAACAGACGAGGAGCGGTGAAGGACTGGGCAAAGGAGCATAAAGATCGACGGTCGGTCCCCCTCCTGAACCACCGCCGTTGATCGAAGTTTTGGAAGAGGATATTTCAAGAAAACAATCAGGAGAGAGTTTGGAGTTTTTCTCAGTTATTTTATTTTTTATGGTCTTATTTTCGTGTTATGTTTGTTCACGGTGCTTTGTTTTTTGTTGATGTCTTTAGTTTTAGGTCTACAATAATAATTAACAAGTCTTATAGATATTATGTCATTAGAAAGATCTATATGATCAATGATTGCTGTGTCACACCCGCTTGGTGGTTAGCGATTCGTATTGCTCTTTCACGGGTGATCGTCTCAGAGTCTAGCCGTAGGGTTGATAGTGCCAGTTGGTTAGTGACAGTGGTTGTCAGTATATATTGGTCTATTTGAGCTTGTTGTAACGATACGATTCCTAATGATATTAATATAAGCGGGTTGTTTTGATGATAAAAAAACATGCTTATGATTTACAAAAGAGAAAAGTGTCAAATTGGTCCTCCTGTTATGTACGGGAAGTCAATTCAACGCCCGTATTTTGAGTTTCGTGAATTACATCCTCCTACTTTGAAATTTTCGTCAAAACCGACTTTAAGCAGGCAACCCACCGGTCAGTAGGTTACCTGCTGATGTGGTGCACACGTGGCCTAAGACGGCACAAATATGGCGGGCCATATCACTTTTTTTTTTCGTTTCTTTTTCCTTTTTATTTTCCTTTCTTTTCTTT